TATCCCGATATGCGAAGCATTGCACTGAAAAATTTAGTCCACGCCCACCTGCTGTGTGGGCCCCACCTGGTCCGTATAAATTACGTTAAGAGCGGGAAATCGGCTCCCCATTTTTTCTTCAGCAAGCTAATAGCACTGTCAGAAGAACGAAGAAGGAAAGTTGTGTAGATGACCAACCTTTGTTAAGAATGTTTGGCCCGGCACGTCGACCTCCGGTCGTCCGGTGAGCTCTCCTCCCTGAGGAGAAGCTGACGAGCAGTCTTGTTTTAAGGTAAGCGCCGAGGAATATTTCTCAGTGACAGGTCGCTACACGCTGGACAACGCCATCTTATAATTTTCCTCTTATCGCCGACCCTCGGAGCGAATCGGATGGTTCCTCCGGGACAGGCGGCGCTCAGCTGCAGCCCCCCGCTGCTCATTCCCTCCTGGAGAGCGTAGTGTCGGTGGAGGGGGGCCGAGTGAATGCTCACCCCATCCTACCTCGTTTCGCATCTGTGATCACACCGCTCCCGGCCGACGGTGCCCTTTGGGGTTGCCCTGCATAACCCAGGAGGCAGCTGACATGAAGGGACCCTTTCTTACGTCCCACGCCTTTTCCCGCCTGTTCGGATGATCCGGTGGGAAGGTTGTTTTTACTAGGTTCCATTCCGGCTCACCGTTCTGATCCATCTGGCCTTGTTTTCCCAACAGGACGTCCTACGGGCGAGGCCACAGCCAGTTTTTCCTGGTAGATTGGGGAAAAAAAAAAAGATGGCTCTAGAGGAATGGCGACATTGTTTAGAGGGCACTGATGTTCCGTTTCTAATATGGACTGATCACAAAAACTTGGTTTACATTCAAAATGCTAAACATCTTAATCCCAGGCAAGCGAGATGGTCACTATTTTTTGCTCGATTTAACTTCTGTCTCACCTACAGACCCGGATCCAAAAATGTCAAACCGGATGCTCTCTCTCGCCAATTCTCAGCATCAGATGACGGTGAAAGGGAGGTCAGCATCATCCCTTCATCCTGTATGGCCGGTGCACTCTCATGGCCCATCACTGAGGAGGTCCTGGAGGCTCAAAAGGTGGAACCTGATCCCAAGACCAGCCCCAAGGACAGGATGTTTGTTCCCTCAGCGGTGAAGGCCCGTGTCCTCGACTGGGTCCACACCAACAAATTGTCATGCCATCCAGGAACCAACTGCATGTTGGCTCTAATAAAGAGACACTTTTGGTGGCCCACTATGAGCCAAGATGTTAAAGAATTTGTCTCCGCCTGTCAGACCTGCAACAGAAACAAGAGTGGACATAAACCACCCGCAGGCTTACTTCAGCCCCTCCCTACTCCTAGTCGGCCGTGGTCCCACATTTCGTTGGACTTTGTTACTGGGTTACCTCCGTCAGCAGGCCATACAGTCATTCTCACTATTATCGACAGATTCTCCAAGGCTGTCCACCTTGTTCCCCTGACCAAGCTACCCTCCGCTTTTGAGACAGCCCAGTTTTTGGTACAACATGTCTTCTGTATTCATGGCATTCCTGTTGATGTGGTGTCCGACAGAGGTCCACAGTTCATTTCTCAGGTTTGGAAAGCTTTTTGTAATTCTTTGGGTGCTTCGTCTAGCCTCACGTCTGGTTATCATCCCCAGTCTAACGGCCAATCGGAGAGATGCAACCAAGAGAACGAGTCTACCCTCCGGTGTATCATTCAGGAGAACCCATCTGCATGGTCGCAACACTTGGTCTGGGTAGAGTATGCCCACAACACACATACCTCTTCTGCTACCGGGTTATCTCCATTTGAGGCCTCCCTGGGTTATACACCCCCTCTCTTCCCCAGTCAGGAAGTTGAAGTTGCTGTACCATCTGTACAGCACTATTTCAGACGCTGGAGACGCATCTGGCATCAAACTAAGGCAGCATTACTTCGCACCATGGCTACAAACAAGAAGATGGCAGATCGCCACCGTTCCAAGGCCCCATCCTACTCAGTCGGCCAACAGGTATGGCTGTCCACCAGAGACATTAATTTAAAGGATTACCCCAAGAAGTTGGCTCCCCGGTTCAATGGACCTTTTCTTATTGTCAGGATCATTAATCCTTCTGCTGTCAGATTGAGTCTACCTGCTTCTATGCGCATCCATCCAACCTTCCATGTTTCGCAGATCAAACCTGTTCTAGAGAGCCCTCTGTGCCCTCCCTGCTCCCCCCCCCCCCCCGTCTCATTGACAATCATCCTGCATTCTCGGTATGTCGTATCCTAGATGTACGACGCAGGGGTAGGGGGTTCCTGTACTTAGTGGACTGGGAGGGATATGGACCGGAAGAACGGTCCTGGATCCCCAGATCCTTCATCCTGGACCCCAGCCTTATCACCAATTTTTTTAGAGATCACCCTGAAAAGCGCCCGCGATCGCCAGGAGGCGATTCTTGAGAGGGGGGGTTCTGTAGGGTTTTGTCATTTTCCTTCCACCAGGTTCCTGAAGGCAGGAGCGGCGCTGATGAGCAGCCGCAGCTGAGACCATTTTCCCTAATTGGTGCCAGGAATACTTAAGGCTCCAGTTGAGCTCCAGTCATTGCTGGAGCATTGTTCTACCTGCCGGTACATATGCCTCCAGCCCTGTATAGTGTTCAAAGATTGAAAAGACTTACCTTGTTTTGTGTCCACATTTTCAGAGTCTTGATGTCATGGATCCTGTCCTGTATTTTGAAGTATTGAAGAAAACCCTGAGGATAAACTTACCTGTGTTTCCTGGTGCTCAGCTGCCTGCACACTCTTTCCACCACTTGCCTTTGCAGTCTGCCTGGTCATCATCCTGGAAGGAGAAAAACCCTCAGCCTGTCCATCAGCCATCCTAACTACTTTCACTGTAAGCCTCTCAAAGACCTTGAATATTCAGTTGTTGGATCATCTCCTCATCATAAAGTAATCCTCCTCCTCTGTCTTCACAGACCCAGATCCTGTTTGTAAATAGGTTTTTTTTCACTCACTGTAAAATAAACATTGTTCAATTACGTCTGAGTTTGGTTCTGTTTTCCTCTCAGTCTGTTCACTTGGGTAACTCCACATTACAACATGTTCAGGAAATCCATTCCATATTTTGAAGCCAAATTGCAGAGCTGAAGGCAGGGAATCACATGTGGAGATGTTTCAGCAGACACAGACATTCATTCAACCTTTATTTAGACAGGTTAATTCCATTGAGCCTCGAGGACTCATTTACAAGAGAGACCTGATTTCAACAAAGACAAGCGTCATGAATCAAAAATCTCTGCAGGTTGGATTGGAAAAATCCAATGCGTAAATTATGCTGGTATTGGAACCCGCTATCGGATCGGCCCCATCCCTACATAAAATCATATAAAATCAAAAGTAAATCAAATAAATTATATAAAAAATAAATAAACTAAACTACATTATAAAGCAATGTCTTCTTCTTCTTCTTTTGGCTTTTCCCTCTTCAGTGGTTACCACAGCGAGTCATCCTCCACTTTGTCCTCTGTATACTCTGTCCTCACTCCAACTACCTCCATTTCCTCTCTAACTGCATCCATATATCTCCTCTTTGTCTTTTTCCTGGCAGATGCATTTGTAACATCCTTCTACCAATATACCCACTGTCCCTCATCTGGACATGTCCAAGCCATATAAGTCTGGCCTCTCTAGCTTTATCTCCCAGTTGTTCAACCTGTGCTGTACCTCTGATGATCTCATTCCTAATCTTATCTATCCTTGTCACTCCTAAGGAGAACCTCAACAACTTCATTTACGCCTCTTCCATTTTGCTCCTGTCTTTTTGTCAATGCCACTGTCTCCAGACCATACAACATACTGTAGCTGACCTCACAACTGTCTTTTAAACTTTTCCTTTGACCTTTGCTGACACCTCTGGTTGTCAGCAGCAAACTGGTTGATCCACTCTGAGAAGGTGCTATTTATAAGACTGAGCTGAATACAGCTCCTCAGACTGAAGAAGTCTTTCGGATGAAAGACGAAACGTTTCTACATTTTTTTTAATTTGTTTTACTTTATTTTGTTTTTTGAATGTCCAGAGGACCAGACTTAACTTTTTTAGATTTTTCTACCTGGATTATTGAGCATGCATCAGGATACTTTGCTGACACTCTTTTGTCACAAATTATAGTGTACGTTATAAAATACTAAACACAGGAACATGTCTGCATTGATTTTTACAATGAACTTGGTTGTTTAAAATCTTTTAGAGTGGTTGAAGTCGACAACTTCAGATCTTTATGAAAGGTATTCAAGGTTATAGGAGGGGAGTAAGGGAAATAATTTTTGCCAAGTTTGGTCTGCACTGAGGGAACACTGCAGATAATTATGTCTTGAGATCGCACGCTGTAGCTGCACTTATGAAGTGACATGTTGGAGGAGATGTTCAAGGATTCAAGGTTCATTATTTGTCATTTGCACCCCATGTGGTACATGTGGTGGAACGAAATTATGTACACAGGGTCCCAGTTACATACAACAATAAAATGTAAAAGAAAAACAGCAAGAAGCTCTAAGATACAAACTAAGAAAAACATCACCTAAATATACACTAAGCACTAGTAGCATAAAAACATTACGCCGAACAGCAGCACAAACATGAGTCTGTGTGAGCAGATGAGCACGCATGAACACATCAACATGAAACAGATCAGCAGCAACATGATGTAATATTTTCACAGTGATTATTCTGGTTAGAGATTCATGAGTCTAACAGCCTCAGGGTAGAAGCTGTTCCTCAGTCTAGTGGTTCCACACTTTGAAATGTTCCTCAACCTCCTTCCTGAGGGGAGTGGGGCAAAAAGTGTGTGTGCTGGGTGAGTGGGGTCCTTCGTGAAGCAATTGACCCTCCTCCTGCATCTGGAGGTATAGATTTTAGTGATTTTGTGATTTTTGTCTCTCTTGAAAATGAGTTCTCGTGACTCAATGCGACCACCTGTATAAATAAAGGGAAAATAAAAATAAAATAAAAAAATTGGATTTTTGTGGTGTTTTTTGAAACAGATCACCCTCCTCAGTTCTACACTGAGGTTGCTGGGAAACTGGAAAAGATTGCCAAGAAGTCTACCAAGATAAAGATACTGAGTCCAGTCCTAAACCCACCAGCAGGTAATCCCACTTCTACACACACAAAGATCCCAGCTGAAGAAGGAAATTTTAAATCTGAAGAGAGCAGCCAGTCGGCTTTGATTTGAAGCTTTAAATGGTCTTTGTCATTCAGTGTAGTAATTTTAACTGTGGCTGTAGAAAGAAAAGTGAGTTTTGTTATGTTGTAAAAACATGGATATGTCCTTACACACAGTGGACATACAAATCCTTCTGTCCACACACTTTAAATGACCAGGTTTTTGTGGTGTTAAAAAAATAAAACCATGACCACGTATTTAAAACATTTTTCACTTTTATTGTGACATGTACTGTATTCTGTACTATTCAACTGACAATTTAAATCCATTTCAAAGATAATGTGAAGTAAACATTTTTAGGCCAAAATATATGTCTTATACAGAAAGCAAAGAGTCTGCAATAGTCTAGGTAAAGACTCCCACATACTCGGGCATACTTCACTCCACAGAGGTCCACACATACTCGAGGCAGACTCCACGCAGACTCGAAGTGGATGTCCGCAAGCCATGTCACAAAAAGATCGCTTTTTATGTACACGTACTCGGTGTCGCACAATAAACTGCCCGGCGACGGACTGTTTTATATGCAACACTAATGTATTAAATTCCCCATTTTCATCCCTGGTCTAATTTAATGGCCTTTTTTTTTTTGCCAAGAGGCAAGAGATCTGTTCCTCCTCGTCCGTTGATGCCATGATTGAAATTATGAGAAATGAAGGAATTTGTCACGAGAGAATTAAAATCTGGCCTAGCTAATGAAGGGTTTGGGGTGTTCAAAATGACCTGAGCACAGAATTTCAGGAGCACTTCACCTTAGTATTAAAGATTTAATTGAGACAAAGTTAAAGTATGCAGATATTACATGTAATCAGAGTGCAGTCTGAGGAACAAAGTCAGAGCGAACCTTGCCTGGTCAATCAGCCTGGTTTGTTAAACCAAACCCTGTGTCTGAGCAAGATTTATAGGTTTCTCATGTCCCGCCCTTTCAGGTTCGGACAGACTTGTGATTGGATGTCAAAACCTCTTGATGGTCCGAGTGACACCATGTTCAGCCACTCAGGAGCAGATCTTATCTCCATGGTAACTCCGAAGGCCGCAAACAGCCTTCTGCTCATTCTTCTACTGATAAGGGTTGATTTACGAGCTTTGTTTTGGAACGCAGGACACTTTCTCTTAGCTGTAGTCTGGCTTTCGTCTGTATAGAGTTTTAAAACATGTTTTCTGTGTGTCTGAACTATTATTAATGTGAGAGCATAAATACTCAACCTATGTTAAGTATAAAGTATATGAATGTTGTGATTTAGCGTTATTTATGTTAATCAATGTGTGAGCAGTGTGTATCCTTAGCACTTGTGAGATTATATATAACATGAAGTAATTAGTGTATGTCTAAAAAAGTTAAATCTGGTCCTCTGGACATTGAAAAAAAAACAAAGCAAAACAACAAAAAAATGTAGAAACGTTTCGTCTCTCATCCGAGAGACTTCCTCAGTCTGAGGTGCTGTTTTCAGCTCAGTCTCTTAAATAGCACCTTCTCAGAGTGGATCAACCAGTTTGCTGCTGACAACCAAAACCAGCTGATCACATGCTCAAGAAGGACCATCAGCCCAACAATGGATCATTAGCACCTGATGGCTGTTTACTGTTCACAGAGGGCTGAGTGATACTAGCAATCATAGCATTGTAAGAGGGGGACAATTGAACACGTAGGCCTCCACCCCTGTTTAATGATGGACGGTTTCTTTTCACAAAGATGGCCTCCTTTACTTCTCTCTCAAACCATCGTTCCTCTCTATCCAGGATGTGCACATCTTCATCCCTGAAAGAGTGACCGCTGGCCTGGAGATGATTGTAGACCTCAGAGTCCTGGCCTGATGATGTTGATCTTCTGTGCTGGGCCATCCTTTTGGCCGGTGGCTGTTTTGTTTCCCCGATGTAAGACTGATCACAGCCCTCCTGACACTGAACAGCATACACAACATTACTCTGTTTGTGCCGGGGGACTGGATCTTTGGGATGAACCAGTCTTTGCCGTAATGTATTTTGGGGTTTAAAAGCCACTGGGACATTATGTTTAGAAAATAAACGTCTCAGTTTCTCTGATACTCCCTCAACATATGGAATGACCACTGGTCTGGGTCTGGGTTCCTCCTTTTCACCTGTTGGCTGACTGGAGTCCTGTTTGGGTTTCTTCTCTGCTTTCAGGAAGGCCCAGTTAGGATATCCACATTG